TATTGGCCTTTTCATGCGAAGACGCTCCAACTTTTTCCGGCTCCTTTCCCGACAAGGCCCTCCTTTCTTCTCTGTCACGCAGCGATGTGTTTGTGCATACCTTACCAGCTTGACAAAAGAAGGGAGAGATCCTATTCACTTCTGCCTTTGACATTCGCCTCTTGTTTTTACAATCTTTCCAAGGCGTGCTGTTTGCACAGTGGAACAGGCTTTGTCTTGAAGAAGCGGGACAATGGCGAGCGCCATAATGTAATCTCCTAAGGGTAGTGAGCAGAGGGGCGAGGTTTAGATGTATGTGCTGGCGCTTGCCCCTACCAACCCTCTCCCTCCCTTCTGCCCTTTACTTTTGCAATATTTCATGTTAACAGCGACTTAGGAGAGTATACATGTTGTCACTTAAGCCTCTCTAATGTTCACCTCGGTCTTTTGTGAAGGGAACACAAAGGCTTTTCACTCATGCAAACATCCTCTTCCCTCATTCCACCTATTAAAGGTGTTGTGTGTAGTAGTTTGCCCACCCACATGCATATCTGCAGCCCTGTGCTAGCAACATAACCACAAAACATTTATATTGAAACATGTTAAACTGTCTCATATCTGTCAGCCTACTATACATCTATTTTGACCAAGCGTTGGAGGTGAGACAGTAGGCTGGGTTTGAACTCTATCAAGCTCTCTTTTTTTCATTCTTCATACAGCTACTTCTGCTCCTGGAGTGCAACTCCATGAATGACTTTGCAAAAAGACTTAAAGCGTTTGCTCATTTGACTGATACTTGTGTCTTTGCCCCTCGCTGTGACGTAATGCTTTTCAGCTGACCTTTCAGCGCGGCCGTTCCGAAGAACTTCCTCGCCCTTCAAACGTGGTCAGACGACATATTCTACCAACTAGTTTGTCTTAAACATACTTGTCACGATGATTACGTTATCGGCGTATCGTATGATATGTGCACATGGCCTTGACAATATTCACATCACGGACTTATCGTACGAAATATGGACATAGCCTTGATCATTTTTACGTTATCGACTTATTGCACGATATATGCAGATGACTTCGACCATTTTTACATTGGCGACTTATCGTACGATATGTGCACATAGCCTTGACAATTTTTACGTTATCTGTCTATCCTACAATATATAGACATGGCCTCAATCATTTTTTTGTTGTAGAATGATCTTATGATGTATGGACATGGCCTTGATCATGTTCACATTATCAACTTATCGTACGATATATGGACATGACAGCAGTTACATATTAGTCAAAGCAGATGAGTACTAAATAAACCTGTTTTGGCAGTACAGCAACAGGACTAATATCTGCCAACTCTGATCAAAGAGCAAGCTTTGGGCAAAATCATTAGATAAAGTGTGAAACCTCAGAAGTCTCAGGTTTGACATCTATCAGTGTCAATTTGTGATTGATTGTGTTTGAAATGCAGCAAAATAATAGATCAGTGATAATTGGAGGATAAGTTGCTTGAAACATTACGAGGCCCGTACAACACGGCCAGCGGACCTCCGAGAGTCAACGTGTGCTATAAGCTCGTCGTTTATGGGTCAAGTGAACTCATTGTGGTTAAATTGCCCATATGATTAGTTGGAACCATATTTTGTTTCCTATGGTGCAGACATGGAAGTGGCAGCACTGAGCCTCATGTGGTGCTAAGCTCATTGAGAGAGCTTCTGTCTCATAGAGATCCATTGTTCTTACTCCAGTGCGTCCGCGTCTGCACAAGTGGCATTGACAGCTGCAACAAGACAACATTTGGGACTGTGCATATTTAGTTGCGTTTGAATGCGTGCATTCATTGTGCAGGTGCAGGCATCGCTCTGAATGTAATACAGTATATCTCCTTGACGTGCAACATATCTCTTACCTCTCTTGTTACTCATGTCAAGACTTTGCTTTTGTTTTGCTGCTCCAAGTTGCTTTCGCAGCAGTATGGTAACATGTGTCATTTTACAGCAGTTGGACAGCGGGCCAAAAAGGTAGCTGTTACTTCCTGCAGTGGTCAGGAGGAGCCTGCGATGGCTTTATAGCCTGGGTCCCTTATGTCAGCTCCCCCCAGAGGTGGAAGAGAATGCATCTCATAATAATCCCATCACACAAAATGGACAGGCTCTAGGACAGAGATATTCAGTTCACAAACTGTGTCACCATGTTTTGCATCGGAAAAACATTTTTTTTTTGTAAATCAATAGCACAACATTTGTATATTATGACTTTATGATTCCACTTAAACCCAAAAGATGACAATACTGAATTATGGCTTGACCCAACTTTCTTTGTCTAGGCTCTTGGCTTAGGATTCTGAAGAAACAACTTCTGTATTGATGTTGCAGTTTACAGAGAGTTAATATTCTTGAAAAGCCTTATTGAAATCTTGTGCCACACCCTCAATGAGTGCAGTATCGCAAAACTTTTGCACGCACACGGTTATTTAAACTCATCTTCCCTGCACCACACCTCATTTCTACATATTAACAAAGTGGAAGTGCACCTTTAAATAAATGTATCTAGAGATTATTCACATGTCAGTGTATGCAGAAAACACACAAATTCAGGTTAGTGTGAATGCCAATGTGTGCCTGCACACAAGGCTTTTGCCGAATGTGTGTGTGTGTGTGTGTGTGTGTGTGTGTGAGAGAGAGAGCATGTGCGTTTTGCGGCAACTCTCCTCTACTGGGCAGCCAGCTGTCTCTCTGATTACCCAGCATCCTCCAGGTGTCAGATCTGCCATCTGCAGATGAGTGGCAGGGCGTGTGGAGAGCGGAGGAATGGAGGGAAGAGAGGGGGGTAAAAACAAAAAACGACAAGAAAAAAAAAGAAAAGGCAAGGAAACAGAATAACTGGTTCTGAAGACATCTGGAACGTGTTCAGACGGGTCAGCGAGAGGCGCAGAGTGTGAACGGCGCTCAACTGAAAAGGTGGCTTACAAAGTCCTTGGCTTTTCAGTGGTTTTTTTGGGTAATACTGCTTCTTCTCCACAAAAAAAGTAAAGTTGCAGCTCACAGAAGTGTTTACAGGGGTATTTCACACAAGCGTGTTGTTGCCGACTATTTGTTACCATTATTATTATCACAAGAAACTCTTAGCGTAAGAGCCTTTGAGTTGTTTTAGTCAGAATTGCCCGTAATTGTGCCCTGAGAGGAAAAAGAGAGATCCAAGAGAGAATCATTTGGTTGATTAATATAAAGGCATGAATAAAAGATCATACATGCCCAGTGTTTGCTTTTTTCTTCATTGTTCTCAATTAGCCTCAAATTGTGGAATCAAAAGCCTGTTTGTGTTGCGCTCTTTGTGCAACTTAGATGTTGTGTTAGGGCGCCGCCGTGGTGCATAGCATCAGAGAAATGCTGCCGTGCTGTGTTTTGTTGCTCGTCTGTGCGTGAACCGAGTCTCTCTTCATCCACTTCTGGTCTTTCTTTAATTAGCCGCCTCCCACTCTCAATTAAGACTCGTTGGCATCCTCTCTCAATTTAGGGGCCGTACTAGGGGCGGTCCCATTCTGAACATGCTACCTTCAAAGCACTCTGTCGGCAGTTTGACCTCTTTGATGTTATTATTTGTTTTCTGTGACCCCTGGTTTAGCGAATGGGCTGATTGCAGTGTGTGCTTGTGTGCGTGTGAGGCTATAATAAAGCTGACCCCAGGTCAGCTTTCCGAGTCAGTGTGGTCTATTTAAACCAGGCAGCCCAGGAATGATTAGCTGTCCTCTTGATGAGAGTGTCCCCCCCCCCCCCCCCCCCCCCCCATCTCATTGGAATCAATTTTTTTTTAAAGAAAATATCAGGCATCACTAACTTTATTAAGACAGATTTACTACTTCAAAGCTTCGTACAAGAACTGCGCTGTTTGTCGTTTGTAAGACTTTGCGTGTGTGCCGTTGTTTGTGCAGTTAAAGTGCTTTGCGAGAGATACACTGATCCTCTGTTGGCTCTGCTGTGGACTTCACACAGGACCTCTGTTCTGTCCTGAGCATCCACTACAGAGGGACCTCAGGTGGGTCCAGAGGGCCTTCACTGGGCTCCAAAAGCACGTTTCAATCCAAATGTTCATACATTGTCAAGCCTCAATTTGTTAGCGGGATGTGAAGAATTTGGTCAGTGTCCATTAAAATGCACCCTGATGCGTATGGCAAAAATGCTCCTTTAAAGGGTTGGTTCACCCCAAATTAAATAAACCTCTTGCGCCATGCAGATAGTTTTGGTTTTACTTGCCAAGGCTTTAAAGGGGACATAAGGACATAAGACATACATTCAGCTTTATACTTGAATTTTGGGTTTCTACTAGAACATTTTTACATGCTTTGATGTTCAAAAAACACATTATTCTTTTCATACTGTATGTCTAAAGATACCTGTTTTCACCCTCTGTCTGAAACGCTTCGTTGTAGCGCCTGTCTCTTTAAGCCCCCTCCCAAAAAAGCCCTGTCTGCTCAGATTGGCTTGTGAGAAAAAATAGGGTATGCTGTGGGCAGCATATTCTAATATTCTGAGCCTGCATTTGAAAGATGATTTCTGATTGAAGCATATTTCACATATTGTTGGTTAGTGTGCACTCCAGATACCCAAACGTATGTGCAACAGCGCTGACAAAGTGAGTTTTTCATGATATGTGCCCTTAAAGATATTTATGATAGTATGATAATAAGAGGTTTCTTCCTCTACCGCAATCAAATTTTGAAAGAAAAAAAAAATCAGCAACATCTCATCCCAAAAACATGAGTGCTATGCTATCTCTTTGGTAGAATGTAGGCCTAGCTATAGTGAAAACTGTGACTGTAAAATTAGAATTAATTCCCCAGAAAATCATCTATCTTTGCAACCTGGTCAAACAAAATCAAAACTATCTGTAGAAAGTGGCAAAACATTATTTTTTTGGGTGAAATGTCTCTTCTGTTGATGGTGCGGATGCTAAACGTGCTCCAGAAAAGTCATTTTTAAAGAAACATGATAATAAAGATTTTCCTCTGTTCTGCTCTTTTCCAGCTGACGTTCATGAATTTTAAAGTCATCCGGAAGTGAGAAGAGGGTGTTGGAGTTGAAGTCTCTTATTTCTGTAAGTTTCCCTAATTTACCGATACGAACAACTTTCCTTCCACTGTGACGCTGCCAGCTTCCGTATGCTCTTTGTGCCACATACTGTTTGGCACTTTCGATGATTGCTCCCACCAAATGGCAGATAATAAGCTTTTACAGAGAACACATGATTGTTTCCTCGGAGCGGTAACGGAGCAACACTTGCCTGTGTTCGTGGCGGTTTCGTAGCGGCAGAGGAGCACGCAAAGTGTGTGTGTGTGTGTGTGTGTGTGTGTGTTAGTCCACGTTAACAAAACTGTAGCTGACTCTCTGCATGTTCACTGCCTCGGCACATACAGAACGCTTTTGATTTGTTTCACGGCTAACGCAGACCTCCACTCCGGTTAGTATTCGGCCCTGTGCAGCCCTCAATAGCTGCTTTCACTCCGGTGAAGAAAGGGGTCTTTTAAAGACTCGCACAGGCGTCACTCCAGGAAGCTTTCAGCGCCGGGACCTACAGTATGCCTTTTAATGGACTTTCTCTCTGTGAGCAATAAAGATTATATCTGGAGTCAAACAGTGCTTTAGGTAACACTAGCCCAAATTAAGCTGGTGAGGCCGATCTTGATGGCTTCAGCAGAGTTGGGAGACATATGAAATGTACAGATGGGAGAGGTTGGAGAAAAGAGCGATCTGACCATCTGGCTAATCCCCCTGTTTAAGAATACTTATTAAGGCCCTCTCTAGTGGCCTTTGAGCCGTGTCACTGCTAGGTCAACAAGTGGCCTCACTGGCAACTCGCTCGCACAGCGGACAGACAAGCCTCAGTGTTCTGTTGTGGGTGATAATCTGTGTCCCGCTGGCTGGTGGAGGAGTTCGGTTTCAAAGGCTTGATTTATGGCTCGTGTAAATCGTGTTGTATCACAATCTGGAGTTATGGTTCCCAACCAGGGGGGTCGAGACCCTATTAAGGGGTTATACTGGCCTGTGACAAGATATTACAACGAGACAAAGCTTCATTTTAAGGGCTCACAAGAGAAAAGACACTGATCTAGAGCAACTAACACGGCGCAACGTCGGCTGAAAGATACTTTTCAATGCTTTGGAGGATGATATTTTCAGCAATAAAATAATCCAAACATCACAGTAATCAATACAGGCCTCATCCGTTTACTTCCTCTGGCTAATTGCCCTGCATTTGAAGAAATAAATTATGTCATTATCGGGGAAAACTGGACCACTTAGGCCCCTTCTAATTCCATTGAAACTCCCTTAACTTCATCAATTCATCTGGAAACTTGAAATCACGTTATTGAGTCTTTTAAAATGTAATTGCTTTTCAGATCTAATTACATGGCGGTGAGATGACAAGTGGACCCTTCTAACAAAATGACCGTCTCTATAGGGTGCCGATCGTGTCGTGACAGGAACAATTTATGATATCTTTGTTTTACAGGACTTTTGGAAGGAAGTGGTTGCCTTTTGTTGGAGGATTTGCTAGGTCAACGCCGTACTGTACACGCTGCATCTAGTGGCTTTGATCAGAGGAGCAGGGGGCGTGTCTGTGACTGATGCTTCAGATGATCTGACATCACTGGACATCTCAGCTTCGTATTGGTCACACTGTGTTTATCGTCGGAGCGTGGAGAACTACATCCAGATTTATATTTGTGCATTAAAAATCAGTTTAGTGCTTGATAAGGGAAATACGATCACGGATCATTTAGTGCCCCCAGTGTGTGTTACTCCGTGCGGCGTGGCGTTTATAGATGTAAGAATGCTGAACATTAAGTCATAGTCTGTAAGTAGCGGTGAGAAAGAGTCTGAGAAAAGATTTCAGCCGCACCGTGCATCATGACAGGCCTATTTGCGGAGCTTTGTTGTTACGCATGGTTGCTGTAATGGCAGTCATTTGCAAAGAGTTAGAAAAGTTACCAGACAGCAAGCAGCCATTGGGCCGATTTGGGTTAAGCTAACGAGCTAATGAGCTAATGAACTCACTGAGGTTACCTGTTTGGCTTCCCCAAAAACAATGTCCGTCTCTGCGTCTTTACTTGGGCTTTGTATGTGAACTTCACTGCGTCGCAGTGCAAGACGAATCACCGCTGGTAATGGGCAGCGTCTAACAGAATTCAATGCAGTTCCTCAGTACTTAACCTTATGTTAACAGTGAGCTATTATGTCCTCTTGAGCTCGGACATCTACCTAATTGATCTGATTTGTCCACACATATGAAATGTCCACTTAGGTCTAGGGTGGACAGAATGCCTTGCGGTATAAGGAACCTCATTCAACGGTGGGAAAACAGAGCTGAACTCCAGCGATCCATTCGCCGCGCTTCAACTCGCCACACCCGTTCATGTGCGCCAGCTCGCCGGCACATGTGCGACATATACATATGTTTGTGTGTTATGCATTTAGTTGTTTTCCAGGCGTTGTCTGTAGCAATTTATTTGTGTTTGCGCTCGCATGTGTGTTTGTGTTTTGCACACTCATGCCTCATCAACATCCCGTCTGAGGTCCTCATCTGGTTCACTTTTAAAAGAGGCTCGTGGAGCTGCGGCGGGCCGGCGCTTTAAGGCAGGGCCGGGCCAGCAGCGGTTCCTCCCCACTTACACATAAATCCACGGTGCGAGGCGCTCTGCCAGAAACAGTATAGACCGACCCTCGTGGCTACTTCCCAAACCACCCAAGCTCATACCCCACTTTCTCTCTTCTATTGCCCTTGAAATGGGGCCTGCTCTAAATATTATCTCCCCTTGTGCTTTATCCCTCCGTTTATCCCTAAGTCGGCAGGGAGAAGAAAGGAGCCGTGGGGCTGAGTCACTTTTTCCCCTCTCTTCTCCTCTCTCCAAAACCGCAGGCAGCGGCAGCGGCTTCCTGGAGATGAGCGCTTTTGTCTGTTGTGTGACCGCTGCGGTTTTAGGCAGATCCTCCTCTGATGAGGTAATGCTCAGGCTGGATGAGGAGGCAGAGTGAGAGAGGAGGGAGGTGAAGGAGGAGAGCGGCCTCCAGGATCTATATTTGAACCTTTTGATTTATCCAGGGAAAGGGTACTTTATGGGGATGCATGCTCCTCTTCAGCAAACACCCCGCTCCACATGGAGGCCGCTGCACAGATCCACACCTACTTGGAGGTGGCCAGAGCCACTGGTTATCGGCTGGTGCCTGCTGGTCTTCTCCACTGCAGCATCTGCGGGTGCTTTGATGAGTCAACGGTTGAGGGAGGAGGAATCGTAATTCCTTTATGTAAAGATTTCCCCCCAGGTGACCCTGTTTTCCAACCGTCAACCACTAAATATGAATAAATTATATACTTTTAGAGAATTATGTTACTTTGAGGGTGAAATGTGCGATGCGGTGGTAAGGGGAACATCCCTGTTTGCGTTGCCGGGATAAGATAGTCAAACTTCCCAAAACATTAGTTGTCCTCAAACGTGCTGCTGATGTAAAGTTGCTCAGCAAAATCTCCTTGACTTGTTAGCGTGATGGTGGTTGATGTATGGACAAATGTAATAGACTAGATAACACCCTGAGGTCAGCGTGTCTTCAGGACACTAACCTCCTGAGAGTATTCTCCTTTATCAGGACATAAAACTAACTTCTCACACGACTAAGTCTGTGCTGGAGTATCAACCTTTCAATGAAAAGAAACGTCTGGCCTCTTCAGTGCCGGTGCCGATGCTTCAGGAAAAGCACATGACACGCACGCAGCCCGGGCCAAGCGAAGGACTTGGCAGTGCAGTGAACTGTAGCTACACGGGGAAGAGTGAGGCTGGAGAGGAGAGCAGGGAAAACGTTGAGGTGAAGCGAGAGTGAATGTGCTTCTTGAGTTGTGTCTTACGGTGACACTGGACTCTGTTAGTGGTCAGCTGTGTTTCAGTTTTCTATTTTGTGTCACCTACTAGGAGAAACAATACTTCAAGATGTTTGATCTTCAAATCTTGTCACGTGCCGTTGTGAGATGAAGATATCTACATTTTCTATAACGTAAAAGAGACGATGTTTCTGCTCAGCTTTCACATTTGACAATTCGTTTAGTCTGTCCACTTGTGTGTGCTCACGTCTTTTCCTCTCATCCCTCCGGTGACAACTGTCTCGGACTAGTGGCCTTCTGTTGAGGAATGCCACTAGACTCGCTGACATTCAGGATAATTGCTTCTTGTTTTAACTGTCATGGGTCACGGAGGTCAGAGGTCTGGATCAATCTCAGCTGTTGTTCTCAGGGCTACACAGGGGGACACCACCTGGTCCTTAGCTCATGGTGATGCAGCACACTATTCCCCTCCTAACACCTTTTTTACATTCTTCAACAAGCCATAGCTAGAAAGAACCGTCATTTTCAGCTGTCTGGCTTCCTTCAACACTTCATTAAAACAAACAGAGGTTTTTTAAAATAGCTTGTGTTTGAACGCAGTGTTGCCCGTGCAGGTAAAAAGGAGGACGGTCGCGGCACAAAGCACCATCTCTCTGCAACAATGTTACTGCTGCAACGCTAACACCTGTTCCTACAAGACTTCCCTTCTGTGAGAGCTACCTTCCTGACTCTGAACTCTGCTCATTACCAAACACCAACATCACATCCTCATAATTACAGCATTCTCATTACAGTAAAAATCCTGCATCTCATTTTAAAGCTGCCATCAGCCAAAATTAACTGGCCTTAATGGCCGCTGATTGCATTCCTAAACTGGCCAACCCCCTCCTCCTTTTTTTAGCGATCTGATCGTTTAAGTACATGCGAGCATAATTGAGGTCTCTCCCTTGATTAGATTTGCACCAGCTTTTAACAAAGCCTGCTCGAACTTAATCCAATGAGGCCCATTGTGGGGAGAGCAGAGGGACGACATCGCTCCTGGTTAGCTTCAGAATCAACCGAGCCGTCGGGCAATTAGAGGGCTCCGCTGATAAAGAGGCCGGACAACTAAAACTAATGACATGACGTTTCTCAAAGCTCACAAGATAACAAGTGGACAATTGAGCAGTAATTCACAGCATGAATCTCCTCTTTACTTTGTTAAGACACTGACCTTTTAGGTA